AGTCGTCTACCAAGTGGAAAGTCAGGGGGTTGATCCCTGAAGTTTGTATCTTTGGGCGAGATATTGAACCCCTGAAGCATCCAGTCTGAGTGTGTGTGTGTGTGTGTGTGTATTATAGTATATAGGAAGATGATATATAAGTAACAGTCCATTCATCATTTTTCATAGACAGTCGTCCAGTTGTGTCAAACCCAGAACGTCCACAGAAGAGCGCAGAGCAGCGGCGAGGTCATCCTTAGACTGTGAAGTGAACAGAAACCATCAGAGAGATGACTAATCAGAGACAAGAACACTGTGGTGTGCTCGGTACGATAAAGGAGTCCTGGAAGAATGACCCTGAAGACAATCACAAGGTCTTTTCTTCAGAATTATGTGAAGAGCCCTCTCCAGGAAGTAGACAGGTCTTTGTCCATGTCTTTTATGAAGGGAAGTCTCCACCTAATAAAGTACAAAGGTGAAAACTACTGACAAAATAAAACAAAAAGTTAAATAACTACATTTTCATGTTTGGGCCAGGCTGGCCGGTTCTTTCCCTCCTCTCCCTCTGGGTGGCTCTGGGAGGGATCATTTCGGGCTCTGCCTTTGGGCAGGTCTCATTCAGAGGCTGCTATGATCCTGCTATGGTGATGGATCTCTGCTTGATCGTTACCTCCACTCTGGGGAGCTTTGTAGCCAGAAAACTCTTACCTGTGGAGGAGTTTCCAGTCACCGGTCAAGTCCAGCCCTTCATCCAGCACCACAAACTTTCCTTTCACCTGTAGACTCTGCCTGCCCTCTTGCAAGTACCATGATCATCGTCTGTCTTTGGACATCGGACGTCCGGCGCTCTCTTTTGTTCCTGGCCACCCGGCTCACTCATATTTACATCGCTTGTTGTAAATAAACTCCATAAATCTGCCTTAAGCCGTCTGGGTTTACTTCCTAGGTTCAGTTAAAAAAGAAAAAGAAAGAAAAGTGTCATGACACAAATAATAAAATAAATCTGTGGTGCTTACATCTCACCTTTAAAAAGCTAAGATGCCCAGATCAGCCGCTCAGGCTTCTCTGAACCAACAACAGCTGATAACCTGAAGCATACATGAGGCAGAGCGATGCGTGAGAACATACAGCGTCTACTCGGCCTCGCTTTACTGTTGATTACTGATTCTGTTTTTTAATGTGTCCAGAATGAATTCAGAAGTGCTCAGAGTTATGTTCTGCTCACATTCAGCCAAATGCAGCCAAGCTGACTGCACTCCACACTAATGACCCCAAAGTACTGTCGAGTTTTTGTAGGTAAAGGAAAAGGTAAAATTAAAATATTGACCTATGACAAAGAGATTTACCGGATCTCCAGCCAATCAAACTGTTTTTCATTCAGTGAAGACAAAACTAAAAGTAGAAAACAACAACAAAAACAGGAGAGAGCTGCAATAAAAGCACCACAAAGGAGGAAACACCATCTGTGGGGATGTCAGTGCCGTCCAGACATCAGACAAAGAAATCTCAACACAATGAAAATTTCATATCAGAAGATCCTGTTAGCTACTGGAAGCTACTGGAAGCTACTATAATCCTCAGTGGGTGTCCAATAGTTTTGTTCAAGCCCTGAAGTTAAAGCTGCAAGCCTGCACTTAAACCCCACATACATCAGATAACTGTGACTAAATTAAAAGTTTAAAAAAAAGAAAAGCATTAATGTCCAAATATGTACGGACCTTCTTTTTGTCTTATGGTGGAACCAAGTTCCTCAAAAGGTTTCTGTTTCTCGAGGAAAAGTCCCACAGTGGAAACACACCTATTGTCTGGTTGTCGACTGACTCATCAGTCAGTCAGGATGTGACTAACTGTAATCATGCACTTCTGCTTTATTACAGGGAGCCTACTGTGTGTTTTTCTGTTGTTGTTAGATTCTCCTTCAGCTGCATTTCAAGAGGCAGCGATGAAATGTGCTTAAAATTTTACACAAGCATCTACATTTTGTCTTAATTATACCTGTGACGTCCAAGTGTGTGCGAAAAAGTGTGTCTGACTGCTTTAGTTACCCTTTACTAATGGTGATAAACATATGAGTGGGTCTGTACGTACATTCAGTAATAATCCATAACTGAGCAACGTTTTTACCACAACTCTATTTTAAATATCTTTGTACATTTATGTCAAATAAAAAGACTTTTACTCGTTACAAAAGTAGACACGTCTGTGTTATTGTACACGGATGTGTAAGGCAAAGTCAGTATAACTCTATACAAGTACATATGGATATACATTAGACATAAAGTGACCACAAATAAATGAAAAAGAAAGCGGTAAAAAAAAATACATAAAGGAATATAAAAGAATTACAAAGCAATTTAGAATATTTAAAAAGGATTTTAAGACACAAAATGATGTAAAAGATTACAGAGACACATTAAAAATTTATAAAAGATAAGAGCAAAGACACAGAAAACAACCCAAGGCAACTTGAAACAAGTAAAAGTGACACACAACTGCAAAAAGGATTTAAACATCACAAAAAGCCTCCAAAAGACAGACGAGTCTTACCAACACTTACCAGGAGGAATAAAACGTTACAAAGCAACTTAAAATATATATGAATAGTTTTAAAACTCTAAAAGACCAGAAAAAGAATTTTAAAATGATGAGAAGAGACATAAAAAACCGACAAAGCTATGAAATATATAAACGGACATCTAAAACTACACAATGATGTAAAAGATTACAAAATGTCTTAAAATGACAGCAAAGAGACAGAAAACAACTATAAAGCAAATTAAAAATAAACAGACAAAAAAACATGTAAAAGATTGAAAAATGATGACAGTCTTAAAAATTAAAAGACATGAAAATGGTTACAAAAAAGAAGATTTAGAACCACAAAATGATTGAAAACATTACAAAGAGCCTTTAAATGATGACAGAGTCTTAAAATGACATCATAAAGACATAAAGCAACTAAAAAGAGACTTAAAGCTACAAAAGACACAAAAGCATCAAGAAATGGGAGACACAAATTAGAAAGACCCCTAAAATTACGACAGAGAGACGTAAAACAACTAAAAGCACGTTTATAAGAAAGGCTGCTGGTTTGATTCCTGTTGCATGCATAAAGGCCATGCAGCGTAACGCTCAGGCGCTGCCAGCTGTGGCGACGCCTGTGGTAAGGCAGCAGCTGAAAGTAGCTTACTTTAAAAGACTTAAAATATCTATAAAGAGACAGAAATCAGCAGAAGCAACTTAAAACAGCTAAACAGAGACTTTAATTAACGCTCTTGATTTAATTCTGTCTCCTCTGTGAGACTCTGGGGGGTCCTTTTCACACCTGTGCTCAGAGGCTTCATGATCACGTGTGATAGAGAAAAAGAAATCACACTAAGAGCTTAAAATACCATCTTATTTCTTTTCTCGCGAGTGTTTTTTTTTGATTTGGCAAAGATTTTACACCCTTCCTGACTCTACCTTCCTTATTTATCCGGCCTCGGGAGGAAACTAGCTTGTGGGTGACGATCCACGAGCAGCAGTGTGACTTCATGCTGAGAAAAAGCTCTACAGATGTGATTTTTGCTTTGAGGGTGTGTTGATGGAGTGTAGAGCTGGTCAGAAGAAGCTTTACTGTGTCTTTGTGGATTGAGAGAAAGATATGATATTGGTACCAAGAGAGGAAGTGTGGTGTTGCATGAGGAAATCAGGATGTGTATGAGGACAGGGAGACTGTGGTGAGCTGTGAGAGGTAGGAGTGGCATATGGGCTCAAGGTGGGGGTGGGTTTACATCAGGGATGGGCTTTGAGCCCCTTCTTGTTTGGGGTGGTGATGGACAGGATGACAGATGATATCAGGAAGGAGTCTCTGTGGACGATCGTGTTTGCAGATGACTCTGTGATCTGTGGTGAGAATATGGAGCAGGTGGAGGAGAGGCTGGAGATGTGGAGGCATGAACTGAAGAGAAGAGCAGAAGCAACACAGATACATGTGTTTACATATCCGGGATTGCCCATCCAAAGCTGGGGGGGGTGAGAAAGCAGGCAGGGTGGAGATGAGTGTCAGGGGTGATTTTGACACAAGAGTGAAAGCGTAGTGAGACCTGGTTGGGAGAACAGAATTAGAAAAGAAAGAATCTGAGGGACAGGTTAGACAAAGACAGGTTGGACATGTGTGAGGAGGGAAGACCGATGTGCTGGACAAAGTTCGTTGAAGGCAGGAAGGAAAAGGAAGACCACAGAGACGATTCCTGGTGGTGAAGGAGGACACGCAGAGGTTGGTGTGGCAGACATGAGCTAGAGGCAGGTGATCTGCTGTGCCGGGCTTTACAGGGTTAAACTTTTTTATTGTTATTTTTCAGTATCTCTCGATGACTCAACACCTGTTGGGAGACGCAGCAGCAATTTTATCATCAGGCACAATGAAATCTCCTGAATGTGTTGCTCAGTTTGTGCGTCTCTCTCTCCATCAGATCGCTCTGCTTCGGTTTCTTCTCACTGCTCTGCTTCTTCCCTCCCTCATTCACACGTCTCAGTTTCTCATTTGTGTTTCTTTATCCCTCACGTCTCCATGTGTCTTTACACCATCTCTCTTCACTCCCCCATCCCCCCTTTATTTTGATATGCATCTCCTCACCCCCTCTTTCTCTCTCTTATACATTTGCAGGCTATACATTTCCACCGCACCTCTCTATAGGGCTCTCTCTCACACACAGCACTTATATGTCTCTCTCTCAGTTTCTCTCTCCACATCTGGTTTTGGGAGGAGAAAAACAGCAGATTAAGGAGTTGGACTGAACCATGAGAGGCTTTTCGGAGGGGGTACAACAGCTGGTTTTCAATTAAAAAGACAGCGCGCTCACTGTCCCATTCCTCTCAACGATGCTCGTTTCCTCTCCGCGTTAGCAAACGTCCTCAGAGGAGCACCGAGCCTTTGATAAGCCGATTAATCTATCGATAATTGGTTTAAATGACCGCTTCTAATTGGCCGTATCCCCTCCCAGCTCAGCGCAGAGTGGTACGCTCCAGCTGGGGGGCTGTCTGTGGTGGAGTAGGGGCAGACCGAGCCGAGCCAAGCCGAGGCAGGCTGTGTGTGAATGGGAGACCTCGCCGCGCTCCTGCGCTCTGTGATCTCTGCTCTCTGGATTATTCCTCACTTTTTAAAAACCCGCAGGATTTTGTGGTGACCTGTGCGGGCTCCTCTTGCTGCCTCCAGCTGAGCTCACCTCACTCAGGTTTTATGTGAGGAGAAGAAGAAGAAAGGCAGCAGAAGCGCGTGGGACTGTGTGGATTTAAATAACTGATCGGACTTTTCTGCGCGTCCCCGTGCAGGTAGGTCTGAGGGGTTCCGGAGGGGGTAGGTGGTGTTTGGAGGTGGAGAGGCCGGTGATGTTCTCCGGGTCCGGGTGGCAGATATGGGGGTATCGGGGTGGTGGCGGTTGTGGAGAGGGGTGTATGAGTGTGTGGATGTTTCAGGGGGAAAACGCCTCGCTTGCCCTCCGCATCACCGCTCATCAGCTGCTCCTGCTGCCTGCTTTTCCCCCCTTTCTTTATTTTTTACGCGTGGAAATTTCCTCCTTCTCAATGCTGCGAGTGGGGATGAAGGAGTGGGACTTGGGGGTTGGTTGATACCACAGGTAGGGGCTGCTTTCGCCCTCGGGGTTCGGCCTGCGTTACGGCACCAAGCGGACCGCTTCCCTCTGCGTTTTTCCTCCATTTTAAAGTGCGGAGTTCGGTGCGTAAAAGAGGCGATTTTGAGCTGCAAGTGTGTGTTTTTCTGTGTGTGGTGAAGGGGAGAGTGGTGGGGGAGGCTGAGGAGGAGGAGGAGGAGGGGGTCTGGGAGGTAGCACAGCTCCAGACGCCGATCCATTAAGGAAGAACAAAGGGGGGGAAGGCGGCAGAAAAACGTTCAAAACCGCAGCCGAAACCCCGGAAACGCGTCCGATGGTCGCCCCGAACTCTGCGGACGAACCGCCGGCTGCTGCCGAGATCCACGCACCAAATTCGGATTTGTGTTTTTCTGAATCCGCCTTCATCCGACTGCCCATGTGCCGAAGAGCAGCCTCGATCTTCTGGATCAGCCCCCAGCTCTGCTCACGGAACCGAGACCGGCACATTTCTGATCCCGGTTCGGCGAGTTCAGGGTCGGGATTTATTTCAGAGCCGCGATCGTGATGATCTCATTGTGATCGATGTTCTTCCTGACACACTCAAGTCCCACCAGGCTGAAGGTTATCAATCAGAATCCCGACCGAACAGACCGCGCTGATCCTCAAGTAACGTTTGGATCACAGTCCCGGTAAAGGATTGCTGATGTGTTTACAAGTCGATCAATGATGTGATCAGTTTAACAACAAACAGTCCAAATCAGGTTTTCAGGACCAAACGGCCCCAAATAGCGAAAAAATGAGTCGATAACAAAAAGAATCAGCTATTAAAAACGGATTAAAACATAAATTTGCTGCAGAAGAAGAAGAAGAGAAATCAACCTGCACATCAATAATCACACGATCAATAAGTGATGTGATGGGCTGTATGATAATGACTGATTGAATGTAAATGGTGCCAGGAGTAGCAGCAAGTCTCCCCCACATGTGTCCTTACCAAACAGATGTTCAACTAAACACTGATCCTGTGATCAATAATCTGATCGATGGCACGGGTCAGATTCAGATCAATAATAAAGGAGACAAATTTGAGATTAAATAATGACTCCAAACCTACGTGAAGAAAAGTGCAAAAGTTGATCAGAGATGACGGTGGATTGAGCGCTTTGATCATCAGTTAATCGCATTGATTGATCATTTTAAGCAAACAAACACAAAGAGCTTCTGTTTGAACCGTCGTTCAAGAAGTCGTCTCAGGAGTTTCTTCAGTTTTATGGTGTGTTTTTTCTAACATGTTCCCCATTTCACCAGGACAACAACCAGTTGATTAACCAATATCCCAGATAAACGCATTATCTGCAAAGAGTGAGCTTCAGAAACTTTTCCAGAGAGACATGGATCAGATAACGGCAGCGCACAGAAAATCAAATGGAGATCTCAAATGAATCGTATGAAAAAGTTACGTTTGAATCAAATATAAAAAGTAACGAGAAAAAAACCCGCTTTAAAGTCCAAACAGCAGATGAATAAAAGCCAAGAAGGTGATGATGACCGCAGCGTGTCCCAGAGTTGGAGATTTTCCATAAATCTGGTCAGAGCTGTAACGACTAGTCCATAAATTTTTAAGGTAATTGGAAAAGAAATGAATCTCCGGTTGTTTTGGTAACAGATTTGACATTTTAAGTTTAAAAAAAGTCACGGTTCCATTTGCAGTTTGACTCAAATTAGTGTATTAGTCCTGCCAGGGCTTCAGTCTGCTGGTCCCTCATTATTCCTTCATTACTCTAGACTTAATATGTTTTCCAATGGAGATCTGCATTGACTTTTTCTATGATTTGGAATCTGGCACTTTGGTCTAGAACCAAGATGAGATGTTTGGTATCAGAACCAATTTTTGTGAGTTAAAAAAATATATTTGATTTCAATATTTCATCTGATTGTGTACACGGGTCACATTTATCTGCTTTTCCATTCACACTATTTGGAATTTTAAGGAATGGAACTGTTTCACTTCACACTGTTTGTCTACATTGTGTGAAACAGCTGTGTTGCCAGTGGTGTTGCAGCAACGTGTTCCCCTCCAGTCCAGCAGGTGGCAGTAATCAGGATTGGATTGCTTTTTGCAGATGAGCTCATTGAGCCAGTGCTGGAAAATAGACCCTGTGCACGAGAAAATGCTAACTTCCTGGTTTGAGACCGGATGTGGGGTTGTACATTTCCGGTAGCTTTACTTTGCGGTCAATCGCTACTGCGAAGATATACTCGAAAACGGAAAGATCGCGTTAAGTTACAAAGAGCAGAAGGTGGGAACACTCACCGCTGCTGTGTCATAAAAAAATCTAATGATCAATTTTGACGTTTGAAGCGTGTAGATCGATCAGTTGTTTACATCACTCAACACAAGCAGAACTGCATCACTGCAGCAGAAGACACATCGTCCACATTCAGAAGCACATCTCTGTATAGTGACTGGTCTCATGATTTAAACAGGCAAATGTTCAGCATTCAGACTACAGGTGAAGAATAGGCAAACCAGATGTTTCCCCGTTATGTTGATATCAGCTCGTCAAGTACACACCTACACAGCATGTTAACAAACCGTGAAAAAAGCCACACAAAAAATGAATGATTGCTGGTAACGGTTTCTATACATTAGTATTTACGAAGGTATGTTGTGACTTACCTTCAAAATTACAGCGGTCCCTCGCTATAACGCGGTTCACCTTTCACCTCGCTGTTTCGCAGATTTTTTAGTGCAAGTTTGCTTATTTTTACGTCACATTGTGTCCTGCGTCCTGATCGCTGCAGACGATCTCCTCTGTGACGTCTCTCCTGTACAGAATCGCTGCATCGATGCTAGCAGTGTGACTCTGAAGTGCAGTACTGTATGTCCACGATGTCCACGAATCGTTTTGCACCGTCAAAAAATAAAATTGGCTACTTGATTTCACCTCTCGCTGGTTATTTTTAGAACCTAACACCTGCGATAAACGAGTAACCGCTGAGAAATATAACATTTGAATCCAGTTTCTCTTTTGCTCTGAGGCGCGGGGAAAAAATATCAACAAGTCGATGAACATCATTTACAGATATATTGGGTAAATGCCTGAGACATCTATAGAAATGTAAATCGCCGCTTGATTCATTCATTTGCTTAACTTGTTTTGGGCCGTAAACAAGGCGCGAATAGGACACCGGAAACAAAGCTCCCCACAGGAGTTTCCGCGCTGGAAGTAGCATATGCTAACGTGCACATAGTCTATAGACTAGCAGTGACAGAAAACCGGATTCCCGACTGCTCTGAACATTGTACTCGTTGATTTTTCATTACATGCTCATGAAGAACGGGTGCAGCCCCTCAGCTGGCTTTTGGAAGTTGACCAATCAGAAGAAACTGGGCTTTTAGAATGGAGGGGAGGTTAAAAAGACAGGAATTAAACTGGCTGGCTATCTTGCTGCTGCTCCGATCTCAATCTCACTGTCTGAGTAGTTTCTGTAAAGTATTTTTCAGTTGTTTTCAAAAATGGTCCTCTGAGAAACATCACTCAGCTGATCTCCATCATCACGCTCTATTCACCAAATGCTCACAGCTGCCCAACCCAACGAAGGACCTCAATAAGAACTGATGATGAATTTTAAGTACTGGAGTAATCACTAAGTTAAAGCACTTGTTAGCATGTTACTGTGGCCAGAAGCAGCAATGATGAATCTAGAAGCGAGGAGGAAGCTGCAAAGGTAAAAGAAGAACGCACAGCTTAGCTCAGAGAGTAGATATGACTGTGTAAACCACAGGAACACACAAAGAAGTTCTAAAACATAAACGTGGATCAGATCCATGTGCCTATCGCACTTCACTTAGTTCAGCAGAACTAGTGACATTCCCATCAGCCTCAGCTCCACTTTATGTTTAGCGCCATTTTACAGATGTCCTCCATTTTTTTAATCTATATGCAGCCTGTAGTTTTACTCGCCATCCAAATAACTCCAAACTCTTGCTCTCTATCAAACAGTGACTCACTGCAGCGCTGGACAAACGTCTATGTCTACTTGTGAAAGACGTTCATGTTGAGGCAGGTGGGGATTTTAATGATTCCTGCAGCTGCTTTCACTCACAGAGGGGCGGGAAACATGCCTCTTTGGAGCAAAACAAATGACTTTAAAACGAGGCAAAGACACCACGGAGTAAATCAGACTGTTATAACTCGCTATTGCAGCTCATTAATTCTTGTTCTCAGGCTTTTTGAGATGAAACACTTTTTAAAATAAACACTGGGCTGGAACAGCTCGAATTATTTGATTAGACTCTTTAGCTCGTCACTGAAATCAGCTTTTATTGTGCTTAAAGCAGATTCTGTGTAACAAATAAAACTTTTTTAGCTGAGTTATTTGGTGTAAAATGAGAAAACATGGGACAACATCCTGGTGTTCAAGGTGATGGTCCAGTATCAACATGAAGCTTAACAAAAAACAAGCCAACAACTAATTGTTGTGGCATGTTTTGTGCAAAAAGACTTAATTGTGTATTCATTTAGTAAAAATCACTCTAAATGCCACTCTGCTCTTAATAATACAGCCCAGTACTGTGAGCTGAGTCATAGTTTTGGGATGGTAATGATATAAAATGTCCGAAAGGCACCAAATGTTTGTTTTTCCTGAATCATTCACACAAAATGCGGAAGCAGAAACATTGGAAGTAAAACTTTAATGTTCCTTACAGGTGCGTGT